AAAATGGAACAAATACGAAACGGGATAGTGAAGATGAAAAATGTCTGAATGAATGATAACTTATCGATCTATATTGCATTCAATAAATATGCGTGCGACTTGTTTAGTGGAGAGAAATAAATATTCATAGAAACAGTTAGATAGAGTACTAAAGCTTATGAATCGTCTTAAACCTGATTTTAATAAATATTATCTAAAGAAATTGATAATACTTTTGGATTATTCGATTGATTCGTGGAACAAAATTTACACACGTGGAAGATGAACATTTCTTTAAAAGTTTCTATTTTTTCGATTTATAACGGGTGACTTTCTGTTTGAATGCAATTTTTTCGAGGCACATTGGAATTAGAATGATTTCAGATAGAGTTATTTTTCATTGTTTTGTATATATTACAATTCAAACGACAGTTACCTACAAGTTTCTGTTTTTTGAATTTATATAGAATACAATTTTTTCGAGGCACATCAGAATTATAGTAACTTCAGACAGTTATTTTTCATTATTCTGTATATATTATAATTCAAACAACAATTACACATATGAAAATTGATCGTTTATTTTAAGTTTCTATTTCTTGGATTTATAACGGGTGATTTCATGTCCGAATACAATTTTTTCAAAGCACATTGGAATTGTAATGACTTCAAACAAAGTTATCATTTCTGCATAACATAATTCCGGCATAAGAAAATCTCGAGACACATACAATTGTTCAATAATAAAGTTTAAAAGAGCTCTTGGATAATTTTCATAGCTTGAAATCATCAGAAATCAAAGAATTTTCTGAAAATTACGATAGCATGTCACTCTCGCTAATTTTGTGCGATTAAATATTACACTGTCTACATTATCGTGCAGAATATCGTCTGCGCAGCTTCTTTGTTTATCGGCATCTAAGTTAATCCCATTAAAGGAGGTATTACCTGGCGTGAAAGTGTTGAAAGAAACTGCCGTTAATAACGAAAGTTCTTTTCCTCGATGCTTATCTCATCGGAATCAATAATTTATTCCTGAGAGGTTATCTTTTATAAAGAAAAGTATGTAGTTTCGAAAACAACGCAGATATATGTTGTTTTATTATTCAGCCGTATATTATAACGTTGACAGTATTCGTACGTCAATATTAACACATATGTGTATGTATGATGGACACGTATAAAGCTAATATTGACTATTTTGCAATGGCATATGTGTTACAATGAACAGTCTCTATAATTAGTGAATCATTAGCTGATTTATTGCATTCATGCTGTTTGCAAACGGGTGGAACGTAATCCAATAAAAGATTTGAGTAAACTTTAAAGTAATTTTTATATTGTTATCCTGATAATTTGATTAAATTTTTCAATTAACTCATATATTACTGTCCTGATGATTTAACTAAATTTTAAAGTAATTTGTATATTATTGCCCTGATGATTTGATTAAATTTTAAAGTAATTTATATATTATCATCGTGATAATGAAACTTATAATAATAATTCTCTGTTCTATTCTACTTTTCGTGACTCATTCCAAAAAAATATATTTATATGTTAGTAAGCAAAATTATTTGATATAAATTACAGATTAAAATATAAATATATTTTTATACGCTGAGTTATGAAAAGTAGAATGCAACAGAAAACTCTTATTATTATAGGTTCAATGGTGATCGACTTTTCAAACACATTCCTAAGTGTATGAATATTATATGTGCTTACTTATTACGCGTGCTTATTTCGAAAAGTATTGAAAATTTGTTAACACTGCTGTCTAAATATCGCGTAAGTGAACGCAAACGGTAAAATTGTTAAAATAGCAGCGGTAGCCGTGCTATTCGTCAGCCTGGTATTTCACTAACCTGTCCTTCGTTGAATGTACTTTAATCCCAGAAACTTTCGACTTAATCTTCGTTTAAACTTGAACCCCCAATTTCGACCGTTTGGCTTACCAAGGATTAATGTTTTGAAACGAGATAAAGGAACTTAAAGCATTGTAATTGAATGTTTTACGTAAGCTCTGGCCAACTGTAACACCTCTAACCGTCCAACAAATTGCACTTCAATTTACCAGAACGAAAGGGTGAACCGAAACAGCATTCGATTTATCAATATTCTTATTTTATAAAAGCGTTATTGTTTCGTTGGAAAAACAGGGAACTCCCTTCGCAATAAATAGCACAGAGATTCCCGGCGGAAAATCGACATAACGTAACATAATTAAAGAGCCATTGTTCAGGCCAGGAGAACGGTAAACAAAATGCTTCAAAGGAATTGAACTTTAAAGCGGACGTTCAGCAACGAACAAGAGACTCGGCTGGTGAAAGCTTCGAAGTTATATCAGATCTACAATTAACTTTCGACGACGGTTCGCAAAAGATGCGCCGTGACTGAACCTCGAGGGGCACGATCGAAATCTCTTTCAATATATAAGATCCGTCGATTCAGAAATTCGGAACGGCTTCAACTTATTCGTCTTTCTAAGTGTATTTACGGTGAACAAGTGTGTTGAGCATAAAATCGAGTAAGTCTTTCCTACGTAACATGATAATCGGATAATATAAGAACTGATACTAAATTAAGCTGAAAGGATAGAATGTTTAATAAAATTTAATAAAAGTTTAACGATCATTTGACCGGTTCACGTCTATTTAACCTTTTACGGACGAATTTCAATATCTCGGCGAGACTCGTGGTGAAGATTTTAAATAGAATTCAACACACACAAATGTTAACTCAATTCACTTCTGAATTCAAATGAAAGATTATTGTTTTGTTATTAATTATTCTATTGTAGAGTAAATATAGATATAGGATACACAGGATTTTCCTCTTTTTCCAATAAATTATTACTGACGAAGTTGTATCCATCACAGGTGAAAAATAAATCGTAGGGCAAGGGGTTAATGTTAATTTCGGCAAGATGAAACGTTCATGTTTGAAGGACTAAGTCGCATCGAATGATTTTATTATTTGGACAGCAAGAGATTAGCATGTTTATGCTATTGTTTAATACCAAAACTCCCGGATGGGTCAAAACGAGCCATTCCTGATTCATTCCTTTTGCAATTTTTAGAAAGATAGATATTTCTGTGAGAAATTATTAAAGAAATTGATTTAGTAATACGCGAACTGAATTGTAAATGAATTCAAGTTTCAATAGATGCACTCTAGGAGTTTCTTGCGAGAAATTTCAAGAATTCTAACTGCTTGGCAGTTTTAGTGTTAATCGATTAATGTATAATTTAGCTTCATCCGTTGGTTTTGTACATTTCAAAGAATCTTCGTTCGCAAAGGGTTAAGTTAGAACTATATATTAGATCGTCCGATAACTTCGTGTCGCAAAATGTGAATCTCGCGTTACGTTTTTTAATCAGAGAGCGATACAAGCTTAACCCTAATCTTAACCCTAATCGGACCACGATGTGACTTTGAATCACATTTAAAATATTTACTTAAATTCTTTGATTGTATCATATTGCATTTCGAAAAGTTTCTTTGGACTTTGAAAATTTCGGCCCTACAAACAAAAACAATAACATTTTAATCATTCCTTTTATTCTCATAAATGACTGAGAGTCACGTCGTGCTACGATTCGTTAGAAAAATACGTGGTACGATTAGGGTTAAACTGCTTCAATTTAATCGGTACAAGGTATCCGAGTGTGACAGGTCGTGAAGTTATAAAAATTGTATATTTAATTGTTAATTAATTGTTCTAAATAGTACTGCTTATTCTTTAATAACAAAGGCAAATGATATTAAAAATAATTACTAATCGTTTAGTATCACGGTAGTCATATTACGATCTATGATCTAGCAACTTATGGTACTAAATGTTTTTTTTTGAAATCAAGTTTTTTATTGTAATTGTTTTTCAGCAATTCGGAAGCTCCGGTCATCGGTTACCACCGTGGCAGTCGACGTGTTAAGAAAACATTATTTCGTATGGTAGTCAAGAACTTATGGGACGACCTAATACATTCTATCTGTATCAACAATACCATTGAACAGAGTGGCTGGTCAACACTTACCGGTCGGCCAAAACCTGTTAGAGTTGGCTGCCTCTAAAAATCGATCGCCTTCTTTGAACAGGAAGTGGTCGTCTATGAGCTGCTGCTGGGTCTCTTTGTCCATTGCAGCGAGCGTGTAGTAAGTTCCTTTCAGTTCGCCTTCTAACGACATTAAAGCCTCGCGCACCTGGAAATATAGAAGTCCTTTCATCCGAACAGACTGCAACAGACATCTCAACGGTTCGTCTAGAATTGATATTGTCACGCAAGCTCTTTTGTATGCTTTCCCCTTGAGCAACCGTGAATCAAACGATGATACGAAAGCGATTCCGAATCGTGGACAAGAGGTTATTCTCGATCATTCCATGTGATTCGTCGGTATAGTGCAACTCCGACGAGTTGACAGACTATCGACAAGAGAAGTCAGAGGAGTAGAAGGACTTTCCACTGACAATTTTCAGGTCGTTTCAATTTTCTACGCACGATCGTTATTAGCCACATTGCAGCAACAAAGGACAGGGAAAAGATTGCGACGGAGTGAGATGCGGATAGAGATGAAAGTTCGTAATATCGTTCGTTGCAGGGAACCTGGCACTCTCGTCTGAGTGGTCAGATTCTACGGTACACGCCTGATTGCCTGAGGCGTGAGCGCCTACCAATCGGGTCGCGCGACAAGGAGTGGGGAGAGCCGTTGTCGGACTCGCGATTGGAATGTCGGAGCGACTGTCTCCACCTCTACGACGTCACGAGTGCCAGGTTCCCAGCAACTGACCGCCAACTTCGTTTTCTTTAATTATATTTGACTCTGTCGCATCAGTAAATCCCCGGCTGTTCCAATTCCAATAACAATTAGCCTTTCGATGCTAGCATACTGTGAACTCAGATGGTTAGTATTTTAGATGATTGTAAGATATTTTTTGGACAGTGTGTAATATTGCAAGTTAAGAAGAGAAGGACAGAGTGCACTAACGTGGAACAATGTAGCTTTGAGAGTCTAGAGTTGCAGACCAGCGTTGAACAATAGTATTGCGTAGAATAGATTAGATACATAGTTCAGTTGCAGTCCACTTAAATAAAATTACAATAACACCCGTAAAGATACATAATTCAGTTGAACTCCAGTCCAGTTACAGTCCACTTAAATAAAATGACGATTACACCCGTGCTTGTTCTCGCCATAACCTTCCAATGCCACGATACCTTATTTTCCAGGTCTTGATAGTGAGCAGCCGTCATCGTCGGATTAAACGGATAGCCGTTGATGGACCTAGCGCAACGTATCCTGGTCGAGATCACATACTTCCCTTCGGGGTCCAGGTTACCTAGCTCTTCAGGCGATCCCCAGTTCAAGTCGGGATGCACATCCTCGTGCGTGAAGCCGCGATGATACTCCTGGATCACGGGGTCAAACAGTTCTGCGAAAACGTCGTAGGCTTGTTGATCAGGCGCGTACAAGCCGACGTTCGAGTCTGGATTCTTTAGGCCCGATTGAATCACGTCCATCAAGGTGGACCCGCCGCTGGTCATGCGTGTCTTTAGTTTATCGAAGATTGCTCGGCTCAAGTGTTTCTTCAACAGAGACTCGCTATCGATCTCCGCGTACTCCGCGTAGGCGGTCTCGAGTGCCTTTACTCTCTCGTCGGCTTCACTCAGGAACCCGAGCATCGTCGACGCTTTCTGTTTCTTTTCACAGGCGCAGAGACGCTTGTCGCACATTTTGCTTATCCTCCGTCACCTCTCTTCCCGGTTTTCGTAGCTACCCTCGAGCTGGCCGGCGTCTAGGCGCTGAAACGCGGAAAGACGCAGGCTGGGGGAGGTTGATAACGTTTCCCTCGGTTCTTTGGTTTCATTCGCGAGAATTCGGAGATACTGCGAGATTCTAAACCCCTTGGCGTGTTATTGACATTAAAACTTTAACGCAAACTTTAACCCGTTTGCATTCGTAAGAACGTTCCGCGCACGACAATGGTCAACTATCGCCGAGCGCGAATTGTTCCGCGAGTCGCGACTTTCATTTATCACCGGACGCATAATTTTCCGCGTAGAACGCGGTTTTCTTTTCATTATCAATCTTTCGTTATCAAGTCCTCGACGAATTTCACTTTTGCCAATACGTTCACAGTCGTGGGTATTTCGAGCGTTTTGTTGTAGTAAGATTAACACGTTGAACACCGCACGATTTCATCGAGCAAAATACACGAAATACTGAGTTACACTTGTCCATTTTTACAAAAACAAATTTTAACACTAGGTTTACGGACGTTTCTTGTCTATTCTATTGATCCTATACAAATTTATGTTCGTTCATTCGGATTTTGGAATGTAAATGTTTAACAATACATAACTGAGACACATACTGGTGTAATCGCATCAATCAAAGTCGACGTAGTTTAGTAAATAATGTTTGTAAAATTCGATATGCGTCAAATTGACGCGTACCGTGAATCTAGTGTTACACAGTGCGATCGTTACATTGTTCCAATTCTAAGCGTGTAATAACAAAAATAAAAATGAACAATTAGGAAAAGAAATAAATAAATTTCATCTGATTCTACGAACCGATAGACTGACATTTTTACGCAGCGTAACGAAGAAGCGCCATCTTGTCGCTCGGGACACAAACGGATAAGCGAGGAGACGCAAAATTGAACCGACTGAATCCCGTGTGTGACTGTCTACACCCTGCGTGCAGCATAGTTGTTCAGCTAGTAATTGCCAACGAGGCTTCGCTGTATCGTTCGCGTGTGCACGCCTTCACGCGCGCGTCCGCTTCGCGAATGAAACGTAACGAAACGCGACGTTTGACCTCCGTAAGGTGTCGCGGACGCTAACAAGAGAGAGCACGGGCACGCGAACGCCGGAATGAGACAAGCAGTACCATACATTCGTGCGGTCAGTCGCATAAGTGTTCGTGCCGCGTCACGTGCTCCAGCACGCTCGGGGTTACGCCTCTTTGTTTTCGGCAGTGAGGCAACAGCGCACCGATAACCAATCAGGTCGACGGCGACACGGCGTTTATGCTTCCGAACGTCTCGTTGGAGTCCGAGTGGCGCGACGCTATACGGTGAACACGATATTTCCTGTTGAGATGCTTTTGTTCTGAATTTGCCAGTGATTTTGAGATACTTTTGTTGTAAAATTGTCAATGACGTTGTGATACTTTTGCTTTAAAATTGCCAATGACGTTGAGATACTTTTGCTCTAAAATTGTCAATGACGTTGAGATACTTTTGCTCTAAAGTTGCCAATGATATCCTGATACTTTTGCTCTAAAATTGCCAGTGACATCTTATATAATCTTCTGTGATTAGAAAATAAAAGATTGTAAGATCTGGTTGCAAATATTGCACTCGTAACTGTGTGTCGTCGGAAGTGACAATTTTCTAGGTTAAAAGATTAATTATAAACAATATCATAGACAAAATGAATGAAGCTACGAATACGTTACTGCATTATCCAATTTGTTCGTTATTATGCTCGTTACATTTGTCGTTACGTTCGAACATGCGCAGAAATATCCTAATCAAAAGCACACACTTATTTCAACACTAAAATATCAATAATAACAAAACAATGTTTCATTTAAACTCCTTTGCAATGAGTAACATTGATTCTTACTATATTCAGCCTGAAATCTCCACCACGAATCTCTCTCATTAAACGCCAAGGGGTTAAGAGCAATGAGTTAACCAGCTAAACAGTTAAACCAGCCATAATAAAATTTCAGTACACAAAGAATCCGGACAAAGTATTCGGCAATTAAACCGTATTGTTATTTCATTGCGTTTAAAAAAGGGCAAAGGGTTAATCTCTCATCGGCACGCCTAAGGGTGGGCCGATAGCGAGGTTATGCAAATCCGATTCGGGCCGGGGTGCCGTTATTATTTATTTCAGCCGGGAATTGCTGATTATTTCACCTGAAACTTTTCACGCGTCGTCTGGACGTCTCTATTGCTTCTCAGTCGCCTGCTTTCTCCCCTTTCCGTTTTCCCTTTCCGCTGTGTTCGCGAAGCATCCCCCGGAGCGTCGAGTTTTAATTACACATATTTTTTGTGCGAGCCGCTCTCAAGGCCCGCGGTATGCGCCAGAAGGGCTCTACACGACGGCGACGTGAATATTCTGAATTTTGACAGACGCTCGACGCTTCTGGCATAGCCATCTCGACGCCGAGCGACCGCGAAATCTCGTTTCCCGCTTGTCACGGAAAAGTATTCGGCTGCGTTCAAGTTCCCGTCCCGATGTAACGCGACCGAAGTTTGTTTTGGCCGAGACTCGCGAGACTTTTTCTGCGAGCCGATATTGGAGCGATGCTCGCTTAAATTCTAGAGAAATCTGCTCGGCTTAATTACACTGGGTTAGATCTACTCTTCGCTTAGTGCTCGCTGTCTCGAGCTCGGTGTAACGTGACCTTAGTAAATAGAGACGTAAAATGAATACAATTAGGGGAAGAGATGTATAACCATGCAACGAAGAATATTTCAGTTGAAATCAGCTTAAATTTATCTTCTCGATTGTAGTGCCGATGGAATGTGGAGATTATTCTGATTAAAACGAGTCCAAACACGGTAGGAATCGGACTAGTATGATCGATTTCATGAAAATGAAGCTTTAATTTTGTTAATTAGATTGAATGGGTAAAAGTAGTCCGATTTGCGTCGTGTTTAGACTCATTTTAATCGCGACGATCTCAGAAATTCAGTCGCACTACAACTGAGAAGGTAAGGTTAAAATTATTGGAATTGAAATATTAATAGCAATAAGAGCTTGGAGTGTATTTTACCTAAATTATTTTTATAATGCAATCATCTTATCGCATATCTTAATTTAGTATTGCGACAGTAAGAATCTTGATTTTATCAATCAGTTTGCAAACATCGCATTTTACCATAAGAGTTAAACGTATTTTGCACCAACGATATTTTTACGGTTCATTCAACGTTTGTAATTAAATTGCAGACGTAAAACGAAGCTAGATTATAAATAAAAGGACTATCTTCCGTGGTTTATATGCTGCACAGGTGGAACGTACCGTATGCTAGGAGATTATTATCGTAAGTAATGCTACTAGTCCCTACAGCAATAAAACAATGCACGAAGGCGCGCACATTTCTGTGCGCCAAGATCACGTTCAGAGATTCTGTCCAATTTTGACATTCGAGTTTGCGAAATATTCACTTCTCAATCTTTATTCGGTTTTATCGTTTAACGATATAAAGAATAACATCTCGAAATTATGTAGGTAAATTCGAAAAATTGGAAATCATATGGTATGATTCTCGATTGATAGGCAACAGACTTTGAAATTTTTTAATTTCGTTCTATCTTAAAACAACCCACAAAAGCGTATTGAACGAAGCAACATTCTACTAAAACAAATTAAATACATTTGATACAGTGGATACCTTCAACATTCGATGTTTGCTAAAAAAGCACAATTTTTGCGAAAATCGTTATTTGTTCATTTTCCTAATATAAATTCAACTGATTCAGCTACCTCGACTAATAATTACTCACATACGAATAAAATTTCTCATTGAATGTTTTTACTTCAAAGAATTTCTGCAATTGTTCGATATGAAAACAACTTCGCATTTCAAAGAAGCCATTGTAACCCGAACAAAATCATTATTTGTACATAGTAGAATTTTCGTTCGTTACTACAGAAATGAATAAACGAACCTGTACAATTTGAAGCGGATGGATTAATTAATATTATTTTAAAGAGACGCAGAAATGTACGTGAATATGGTATCGCGCGCGATGAACAAGTGTCGAACTTCGACCGTAACGTATTTGAAACTTTAACTGACCAAATGAAACGTTCACGTATTCCAAAAAAAGGTTTTCTTTAATGCGCCATCTCGGGTAACTTGAAAGCCCGGTGTATTTGAATTTAAATGCACATACTGCTCGTATAACGTAGTCATACTGACCCCATCTGTAGAATGTGCAATTTCGCGAACGCATGGTATCGAAATCCCAATTCTTTCCCCGCAGTCGAATGCTTCTTTCGAAACACGGTTCATTTGCATTCCATTGGAAGGATTAAGGAAAATTTCAACGGAAATTCTGTATTAATATTACTGCAACCGTTTCTTGCGATGATTTCTCGTATCCATCTTGTTTTACAAAGACGGTGAATGTATTCTAACGGCTTCTTTTTCGTTATATATTTTCATTATATTGTAAAAGTATGAAAATATATAAATGTTAAATGATAATGAAGTTAATAAGAAGAAACGATGGGAAGAAACTGTAAGGAAAAGTTGAGATAATGAATTGAGAAGCTAGAGATAATTCGAGTTTACCGTTAATTCTCGTCACTGTCATTCGAATCGAAAACCGACTCAGTTGAAATTTTCTATACACTATTCCTATAGATTATTAATACTTCCATTAACACATGAGATTAGAGAGAGCATCTGTTGCAGGAAAATCTATTATCGAAGTGAATGCTAACAGTAGACACTGAAACGAGTATAAACGATTGATTTGTCTGGACAAAAAACTGGATATATTAGGATTAATTAAAGTAGTTAATACAGAAGAGTAAGCTAAATTATATATCAGTTGTTTAAATAATAGGAAAATAGGGGGAAGTACATGCTGATCTCTTGCTGTTCGAGCAATTATATCATTTGTTTGCGACTTAGTCTGCCAAATACGAACATTTCATATCGCCGAAATGCGGACATTCGACTGCAAGAAATCATTTCAATCAGATTATTTAAAGAAATAATCCATATTTTTCATTGCTCTGTTCAATGAATTAACACTAAACGTACCGATACTTTATAGAAACCTATTTCTGAAGCAACGAGTCGAATGACTGATTACAAAGTAAAAGTAAACAAGATAGATGATCGATTCTTCTTAGTGGAAATAGAGAAAGAAAAGACAAAAATTGAAAAACTAATTCATCCGACAATATAAGAGCAGATATAAAGTTGACGCGGCAAAAGAAAATGCAGAATTTTCAATCGAATTTTAAAACCGGTCATACCTCTATGGTGTTCACCGTAGGAAAAACTATCCAACCTCATTTCCATTTCATCGCGTTCCGTCGCAAACTAATGGCGTTCGTATGCGCGTTATTCGCCTATAATCGAGTTTAATTGCAGGACAGAAATTCCTTGCTTTAAACCGACACAAAGATGTTTCTAATTTCGATCACGGAACACAGCGCGTTCGCGCGAGCGGAGAGCTGATTCGAAGGGCGTCAAGATGGCGTGTGCAGCGCGAGGAACTACAATTCGACTATTCATATAATGAAAATTGAAAGTTAACAATGTGTTGCTAAGTAGTTCCTGCTATACAAAATCATTTTCATTTGAAAATTAAACATTTCCTGTGAATAAATCTCGTTTCTCTATTTACATAACGTAGCAATTGAAACGCGAAATGTTCATTGTCACTGAAACAACTTCATTGAAAACTTCATTCACTGAAAAAACGTAAACAAAAACCTAACCAGAAAGATTTTTTAGACAAAAGTTGTATCCCTCGTACGTTCGGCTTTATCGAGTTTTGTTCAGAAAACGGCCGGTTGGTCGCAGCGTGCGGTGGAAGCTACGATCAGTGGAAAAGATAATGTCGTTACGAGGGTGTCCGTCCTTGCCGTGAATCCGGCCGGATTATCGTCATCGTTGCCAACGTTGTTTGAATATGCCCCGTCAATTTGTACCGTCGATGTTTACTGTTATCGTCGTTCGTGATCGATCATCGTAGAACGGCTAACGTCGCGGAGGAACGGGACGCTGTGTGCACGTCGCTCGCGTCATTTTCCGTCAAACGGCCTGCGAGAAGTGACAGGTTTCATCCTCCTTTTTTCTCGGTCGGCGAACAAAATTTACGTGATGCACTAAACACGACAAATCCTGAAAGTTGCAACTGCACCGTGACGGACCATGAAGAGCAGAAGATTCTACAGGCATTACCGGTCTAACAGTTTCGGCCCCCGCTGGTTGGTACGTTGATTACCATTCGTTGTGTTTCGTAGCGTTTTAATGTTCCTTTTATCACACGTTCGGTGTATTGGACTATAAGGCTACTAACTGCTAACTGCTAACTATTAACTACTAATTACTAACTACTAACTACTAACTACTAACTACTAACTACTAACTACTAACTACTAACTACTAACTACTAACTACTAGCTACTAACTAATTCGATCACTGAGTCTACAAACTCAGAGATGTAGAAAAGTGAAACTAGAGGATGTAGATAAACATCTTTTTTTCTAAATTGTTAGCCTCGAAATGAACAATTTAGATATCTTTTGTACACTCATTAGTTTCGAAGATACCGTAGAAAATATACTCCCAACCCTCAACTGTGAGTGGTGCTTTCATCCCTTCGAAGTTGTTGTTGCTAAGAAAAACGTGTGAAATATTTTCTTGAGAACTATTCACACAAGTTTCATCAAATCACCCGTGAGCAAGAACACTCCAGACATAAACGTTTAACCCTTCGCGGTTCTTTAAAGTACACACAACTTGCAACATATGAAGCTGAATTATACATCAAATGCTTGAACAATAGAAAAGGGAATTATACATTGATCTCTTGCTATTCAAGTAATGAAATCATTCGTTTGCAACTTGGTATCTCAAATATGAACACTTCATTTGGTTAAAACGTCGAAATTCGTCCACGAAGGGTTAAAATATTTCCATATCTCTAAAACAGTTGAAATATTCACTGTTCTATGTGATTATCTATTTATTCTGTATAATTATTACTGAATATACTCAAATTATTCCCAGAATAAAGACAAGACACACAGTTTCTCGGTTTCAGATTTATCAATTCCTGCTCGCCGATGCTAAATTGAGTGACGCTTTGCATCTTGGTTCGTATTATGGGATTGTCACACTACTCACCTGGCTTTTGACCTTTATTGTTCTCGTCTATTCGTTTACGGTGAGTGCCGCGCGAACGTTCTGTTCGTTTTAACGCGTTCACCTCTCCACGCGTTTTCGTTATTTACTGTTTTATCGCGGCGTTAATTGTTTAGTTGCTCCTCGGCTGATGAGTTTATTGAAATTGAATGGAACCGAGGTCAGCCGCTGTTGCTTAAGGAACCCGTGAAGTTCATTTCTATTAGGGCCCGGCATTCGCGTTGCTTTCTACCCCTTTCCAGAGTGTCTTTGTCGTAGAACTCTGTTTAACGGTCAAATCGAAAGTTTTGCTGATGTTTAACGAGTATAAAGGTCAACTCAATTAAAAGCGAAGTCAACGGCGCGTCAAGAGTTCTACTAAATTTAATTTACATTTTATAGAACTCGTGGAAGTGCCCTTTAATTTTGTATCTCTTTTCTTTTGGTGCCATATAATTAAATTTCAATTTCGGAAATTCAAATAAAACGGTTAAATTCGAATTTGGTAAATTTAAATGCGAATTTAAATTTACATTCGAATTTGATAGATTCAAATGGAAAGGTTACATTCAAATTTAATAGATTCAAATAAGGAGGTCAAATTCGAATTTAATAGGTTCAAATAAAAAGGTTAAATTCAAATTCAATAAATCCAAATAAAATGGCTTCGTTCCTTAATTTACGTATGATTTTTCGTTAACAATGCTTTGGTTCATACCAAATTCAGTAATGAACACTTTGAGTTAGCTTCCAATGAATTTTTTACATGAAACCTTAACTTGGTCTAGAGAAAATCTATAAATTACCAGAGAAAAGAAAATATAGGTACAGATAATAATCGATGCACCAATGATTAATAAATGTATAATAAATATTAAGTAGAGCGAGACACGTATACTATAGAATGAAACCCCGTACAATACATTATCCTCTAGCAGGTATTCTTATAACGCGACGAAAACATCACGGCAATATTCATAAAATAGTGGAAACATCTTCGTATAACGCGTTACACAAATTTATTATTTTCTTTTTTAGAAATATGGTAGTTACTCCTTGTTCGTGCGTGTATGGGGAAAATGATAGTTTTATAAGATGTAAAGGTGCACCGCAAAAGCATTATAATAGACACTCGAAGGCGTAATTGACATTTTCACTAAACTCTACCTAACTTATAGTAAAAATTAGAATAATTCCTGCTCAAAATTTATTTATCGTCAGAGTTCTATGGAAATTATGGTAAGGTGTATATTATGTAGATATGTACAGTTTTAGGTATTTCCAAAACTCAATTATAAAATGTTGAAACATAAATTACCAGATCGCAATTAAAATGATACGATTTGCAAATGCCGCACTATCCAACACGATAATCAATATTGTAATTACAACTTGCATAATTTTGTACTTTAATAATTGCTTAGGCTTACGCGTGAAATAACAATATACTCATGGATGAATAACCATCTGCTACTATTTGTTGGGCTGATTAATCCCTCGAATGTTAATGATCTCGACTATATCATTTCCATTATTTAGAAAGAAATATTTTCAGAACATATGCAAGTAGTACCATTTTTAGTTGGAATTATGCAGTAATTTGAATTTGAGAAAGATGAGTTAATATTAATACAACGTTCTTAATGTTTTCGGTATTTATCATTTTCTAATATTCTTTTAATGAAACATTGTTGGTTTCTTACATTAAAACTATTTGTATTACACGAGGAAGATGGATTCATAAATCTGTAATACCAGAATTCAAAATTCCAGTTAATGCAGGTACAGGAAGAAAAGAAAAAGTAATCTGCTAGTAATCGGATTGACTTAAGGAGCATAATGTTCAGTTAATTATTAATCAAGCACGGTTTCCCTGAAACATGTTTTCATACAAAATGTCCCTTTAAGTTCTTATTATAGTAAAGTCGCCATAAGAATCTTGAATTTTTAACGAAGATTCTTCGAAACAGTACGACAAGAATGGTACGATTTTTCTAAAACTGGGTTACAAAATTTATGTCATTATTACTAAACCATTGCTTACTGAATGTTATAAAATATCATAATCATAGAAATACATAATTTATTAATTAAATTTAATAAGTAACTTTATTCACTCATTATCAGTCTCTTCGCTTGATCATTGTTTCGTATACAATGCATTGTTTCACATTTTTGTCTGATCTCTTTCTTTTGTTCACCATTTGATGTACAGTTATAATTAGTAATATTTATCTAATAATTATATTTAATTTATTCATAAACAAGACATACATTTCACAGTATAAAACTATGGTATATTCCCTTCATACGTATTATAATCTTTTCTCCTGTGATTTGCACAATGTGGAACGCATCATGCCAGAAAAATCCTGCGTATTAATAATTTCCACTGGCAAGAGAGTTAACATCGGCAAACAAAATTACTTGTGGAACAAACTAATACATTGAATTACCTACGTGAATAGTGCGGTTTGCTTTTTCAAATTATAAATAATAACAGCAAACAGTTGTTACGTTTCCATTGATATCGCGAAACTGACGGATAACCCATTAATAATTTGAATACTTTAAAGCGCAATTGAAAATATCTTTATACCAGACATTTTCCACTGACTTTATCGATCGGACACTTTTGCCAGGAACTACGACTCCAGATATTTCCAGAAAACAGAAATGAACTCTGATCGATTCGTTGAAATCCGTGAATATTTCCTGAAATATCATATTTGTGTATACATTCGTTAGCGGAGGCTAAGGAACTTTCGATAATACGTGCATGTGCATAATAACACACTCATTAGCGTGCCAGCTGGAAAAAGTAATAACACGTGGTATGTCTCTTTTTTTAGTTTTGTAACTTCAGCAATTTTGTACATTCTACAGTTTCGAGAATTCGTTAGCGAAGTCGGAATAACTTTCACATTGTTTTCAATTAATGGGGATTTATCTAGAAAGTCATTTCCGTAGGTTCCACGTGATATTTAACCTTTTGCGGTCGAAGATTCTTTGAAATGTACAAAACTGTCAACAGATGAAGCAAAATTACATATCAATTGCTTAATTAACACTAGTACTACCGAGGATTTAATACGATTGGTATGTAATCCATATAAAAATTGTAACAATAGATTATGTTCGGTTTCTTCAGGCATTCATTACAGTGTTCAAGTGAAGCTACTTTCAAGCTATTTTCAAGATTATTTCGAATCTTCAATGCTTTTAAGATATCAATCATTGCGGAACAAAACAATCGAAACCAGTCATTGTGACTGGTACGGTAGTTCTAGTGTTAAAAGAAAAGAGGAAAACTACGTGCTGATCTCTTGCTGTTTGACTACTTAAACCATCTGTTTGCGACTTAGTCTTCTCGAAGATTTCGTCTCACCGAAATGTCGACATTTGTCCGCAAAGGGTCAAGTCCGTGGCTGACGATGACTAACACTAGAATGACACTAGATGATGGTTTTAGTCTTCTTATTTTGCAATTACTGATGTTTTCGAAGTATTCGTTATCCGAAATGATTTTTAATTTCAAAGCGATACACCTCTTTGTAATAGAATTCTTGATTTTCTACTGGCTAAGAACGATGAAAACTTTGAAAATTATTCGAAAATATTTTTATATTATAAATAATACTACCTGATACGGTGATATTCAGTCATGTCCTCTCGCCATAGCCGCTAATAATTGTAAAGGTTGCTCGTCACCTTAAACATACAATAATAATAATAATAGTAACGAAGAATCATGGATCATCTAAGAATGGCGAACTCTTTATAACTTTTAGAATGTTTCTATGTATTTACTTTAAATAGGTCGAAGTTTAACACATTGAATGCCATGGGGGTCACCGGTGATCAACGAAATCGAATTACTGTTCGCTCAATTAAATGATGATTATTTAACACGTTCACTGCCACAAGAATTTCGAGCGTTTTGTTATAGTAAGATTTATTCCTTTATAATAGAGGAAAATAGTATTAGAAATAATTATTAATGTTTTGGTAATACAGTACTCGTATTACACTATTATGTAGCTTCTTGTATTACTAAATATTTTCATTCGATATAAATTTTCTTATTGTAATTTTTTTCAAGCAGTTTGGAAGCTCCGGTCATCGATGACCACCGTGGCAGTCAACGTGTTAAAAACATTTCTACATTGTAAACAATGCAACCTTATACGGTGAGATTCAGCTAGATGATGGTGTAATGATAGTAACACAATTCAATCAAATGATTTAATGGTATATTGTTTTCGTCTTGGTTGTTTTGCTCTATGAAATCGTGCGACATTGAACGTGTTAATTGATGAAAAATTTATTTATGGATTGAACGTTTATCCGACATCGATTCCAGTGCGCGAGGACGATAGATTCGTACGAGGAGGATTTTCTGGCTTTGCAGAAAGAAGTAGACAAGGTACACTCGGTAAAAATTATGAACAAGCTGCGGATTTTCATGCAAATACAGTGAATTATGTAAGTTAAACTAGAACTAATCTGAATTATGTAAATTCGGTAGCCACGGGTGTTCGTTAACTTTATACGAGGTTCAATTAGGTTCAAAGTAACATAGAAACTACATTTGATATTTTTGTCACGAGTTGCTTCCGTTGTATTTCATTTTGAATGATTAAGAACCTCGTAAATATAGAAAACTTAGAATTGACGGTTCCTTTTCATGCGATTTGTCTGCAAAGATTCGATTTAAACATTCGTTTCTTTTCTCGGTGATTTTAATGGATTATCATTTGAAGCAGAAACGATATTAAATTGAATTGTATTGATTGTACTCGATTAATTGCATAAATATCCGCAATCTACTGATTATAAAGCATGTGTCGCTGGTTTCGGAAGTTTTCGAACGAATGAAATTAACGGAACATCAACTTCGCCCATAAACGGGAGTGATATAACTGTAAAAGTTTATTAATGAAAAAAGCGGTTGGCTTTAATGCTTGTGAAATATTTAAATTGACTAGAATCTGTAAAATTAGAAACGTAAAACAGTAATCGCATGTTTGATTATGTCTTCTTCGATTGAAAATAGAGAAATACTAAAAATATTGTATTCTTATTTTAATTACTTTTTTGTTGCCTCCTTTCATATTTTAGAAACAATTCTGAAATTGTAGACAATTCTAAGAAAAAAATCAATTCAATAGCTCGGTAGTTTTAGTGCTAATTAGTATCATAAATATTCTTTTAGTGCACAATTTAAAGAAAAATGAATAGTAATCGTATTCCCCGTTATTATACCATGATATGACTGTCAGTCAATTATGAGAATAAAACGAATGATTAAGATGTTATTGTTTTTGTTTATAGGGTTCAAATGTTGAAAGCCCAAAAAACTTTTGGAAATGCAATATGAAATAATGAAAAAATCCAAAGAAAATCCCCCTATCATTTCCCTCACATTTACTATTTACTATTTACCCAAAAATATAATATTACACGCACAACAATTTACAAAGCATAAAGCTATAAAACAGATAAACGATTCCTCGGCAAAAGTTGCTGTTCCTTGATCTCCCTGAAAACTTCTGGAACGTCCTGCGCGCAGGCAGAGGCAGTAAAAACAATTAGCGATAATTTGCAGAAATTCCCGCGGAAGAAAAGCTTGATGGACATCAGACCTGCTTACAACTGTATTCGTAAACACGTAAGTTCGTTTCAAACAAAGCCGGGTAAACCTTTTGCGCAAACCGAAAGTGCATTTCGTTGCTCCGCTCGGAGTTTCGTTGCGATCCCGACTTCCTTACAACAATACAGGTAAAACGAATGGTCAATTGCTTTCTCATTTCTAGTTGCAACAGACCGACGTGTTCCAGGAGAAAACAAACAAAATGGTGGGTCCTCTTTATCTGTAAATCCCTTCCCAGCGATAAGCTTAACACGTTGACTGCCACGGTGGTCACTGATGACTGCAGCTTCCAAACTACTAAAGAACAATTACAATAAAAAACTTGATTTTAAATAAGAATATTTAGTAACATAGGTAGCTAGATCATAGCGTAATATGACTACAGCGATACTAAATCATTAATAATTATTTTCAATATCATTTGCCTTTGTTATTAAAGAATCAGTATTACTATTCAAAACGCTAGAAATTCTCGTGGCAGTCAACGTGTTAATACGTTGAATATCATGAGGGTCATCAGTGGCCACCAACCAAATCGAATTACTATAGTTCAAACTATATAATTATTTACAATAACAATAATTACTATAGTTCAAACAATGATTATTTGAAAAAAATTCCTATATTCACGCTAAGTGGAACATCAGTATGATCAATCGCTTCAAGAACTACAACTTTTGTCGGAAAAGAAATAATGTTGTTTAGATCTTTGCCTTTCGATATTTATTCTTTTTAACTTTTCGCACTCGAGGGGTGTGACTCTCGGTTGTCATTTGATTTGATATACCAAAATCCTAAAGTCTTACAATATTAATACACTGAATGTCATGGGAGTCATCAGTGACCCCTACCAAATCGAATTACTGTAGGTCACTCAGTTAAACGATGATTATTTGAAATAATTCCTACATCCACGCAAGTGGAACATCAGGATGATCAGTGGCTTCAATAACTGCAACTTTTGTCGGAAAAGAAATATTGTTTAGATCTTTGCCTTTCGATATTTGTTCCTTTTAACCCTTTGCACTCGAGAGACGATTCTCAGTCACCAGTTGATTTCATGTAGTAAAACTATAAAATTGGATATTCAATATTGAACTGTACATAATGCATCGGTGAAATATTGGGATAAAAAAGCTTTGTTTCTCAATTTAATTGCGATTTCTCTTTGAGTTAATTTAAACATCTTCTGTGTCTAGTTAGAAAATGTTAAGTATTTCTAACGAAATGCTTCCAAGTGCAAATCGAATTACTGCAGTTCACTGAGTGAAACATTGATTATTTGAAAAAATGTCTATATTATAAACAACGCTACCCGATACGGTGACATTCAGCTAGATGAACGTGCAATTATAATACTGTAATTCAATCAACTGATTCAATGTTATATTTTTTTTGTTTTGTGTGTTTGTTAACAGGCATTTTCCTTTTTCCACAGTTGCACAAGAATCTTCTGGAACTCGAAATCTTGAACAGCAGGATCAACTGTCTCCGTAAGCTGTTGAAATCGGAGGTATAACAGCTTAAAGAATTCTTTGGTATTTAAGTTTCTATTTCCTCTGGGTAATTTAGGAATTAAGCTCTTTTTAATTCTATCTTTGTCGCGAAGGCAACTTTTTACAACGCCATCTCTTTCCTAAACTTCCCGTGTGCTTTTTTAAAAAGTAATAAATAAAAGCACAAAATTTGAATTATATTTCTAGAACTTTGTTAAAAAAAATTCTCAAACATCACGTTAATTTTCGATGATCAAGTAGAGACGCCTTTTGAGCAATGTAAAATTTCAGGTTTACATGCGCGCAATTTCTTTCTTCATTGGGGATCACACAGTTGAACGTATTAATCATGAAACGCTTCATTACTTAAGGAGATGTTATATTCATTCTCCAAGCCGTTTACAAATTTAAAGTCATTCACCATTTACGCTTCGAATTGGTTCAAAATCCCACTTCCATTCAAATGTTATTATGAATCAAATATATGTGGATCTCCATCAATTCGATTTGCATTTCATTTTCATTCCGTACATTTTCTTGTATACCGATGTAAATCGCTTATTATTCGAATTCCGAAAATTATTGTTTGCGTTAATATGAATACGTGTAAACAAGTGAGTAACTAAAACAGTCTACATGAAAAAGGTCCTTTCAAATTTCGAAATACAATTAAAAAGATATATATATAAATATTATATATGGTACATAGGGGGGCATAAGAATTTTATAAAAGTTTAGGTGAGGCATGGCACAAGAAAGCTTGGGAAACATTGCTCTACAGGCTGAAGTTTTGTTCTTGATTATAAAAAAATGGATGAATAATATTATAAATGTGTCAATAATATTATACATTTACGTATTAGTTAGGTAATATGTTAGATTACATATTAGTTATATTTAGACATTGTATAATATTACTGACACATTTACGTGATATTGTATAATATTATCCACACATGTCCTCATAACCAAGACACATACGAAACAATTGCTGCACACTTCAAAAATGTCTCCACCCGAACACATTTTTCAGCATGGCAATTTATATAACACAGTAGGCGTCGGTATCTACCCATAAGCCTCGCCTAGCAGATTTCGTTCCCAGGGTAGAACTTTCCAGACAGCTTTAAACCTGTCGGCCGAACAAGTTGAATCTGAAACCCGCGATATATCTTGAGTCGCGTGAATTTCCATAAGTTCATCCTAATTAACAAGATGGGAATCGTGTCCCTTTCAGCGAGAACCACTTTTAACTGTTTTAATCTAATCCCGTTGTACGCGCGCGCGCGCGGCGTCCGTTCCTTTACAGTAGACTTCGTGATTATCGCGTTGTAAAATCTCGCTTTTTCCTACAAGCTGAGCGGGCGAGCGAGCGAGCGTGCGCACGCGCGCACGTTGGTCCGTTTCTTGCAATGAATTCCGTTTAACGTGGCAGCAATGAATAGCGAGTTAAGTTGTCACGCGACGTTTTCGGCCACCGTCTGAATGAGCATCACGCATCTTATCTGCGTGATATATTCCGCCTATTAGCGGGGCCGGGGCTTTGTTAAAAATATGATGAATCGCGCAAAGAACACTGCTGTCATTGTAAGGGAACCTATTGTGAAGGGTACGAATGTTGGATATTATAATGCGGGGAGTAAGATCGCGAAGAAAGACGCGGGATCGTAATCCCTGCCGAGCACCTTCTCGCATTTTGTACCATCCATCTCGCGAGTGAACTCGTCCGCCGCGATTCATCCGGCGAAAATATTCGAGGCGAGCCGTAATTTCATCGAAACTAAGCTAGTAGCTTATCATCTGTCTCTCGTGAACATTATGAAAGTGCTTTGGTCGAGAGATTCTCCAATTTTTCGATTGTTTCTTTGAAACTTCAGTATATTCGGAGTCGAATTATAGTAATGCTTGCTTAACCTTTTGCACTCTTATGTCGAGCGTGACTCGGAATTTCATCGAAACTGCGTTGGTAGCTTGTTATCTGTTTCTCGTGGACACCAACGTCGTTTCCATAACGTTATTTGCATATATACGAATTCTACATATTCACGGAGTCAATTAGACTGAGAAACATAAACAAAGATATGGTACAATGTAAATTCAAACATATCTTTATTTTACCGTTTCACTTCTCGAAACTATTCGTACGAGAATCAAGTTAACGGTTAATGCTTATTTAAGGAAAATAATGTGAGTAAGAAATATCAATATTTGCATAGAAATCTGCAGACCATTTGGGCTGAACGACAATGAACATACGATTAAAGTAAAACGAAGTAAGACTCAAATGATACGGCGATTAAACTTATCAGCAGTAATGAAGTAACAAGAACAATGGAAATATGTCGATGGAATAAAAGTTACGAAGCATAATGGTACAATTTACCGGGCAATCAAGATACGAATAAAAGCTGATAATTACCGAATAAAATCAATAACTTTACGTAATTAATGGAGAACGATGGCAATTGGAAAGAATTTACCTGTGCTTCGTCCACTCGTTTATTAATTGCGAAACATTTAAAGTTACGTTAGAAGAAGATGATCACGTTCTCGTTTCGTTTCATTTTTAATCGATCTGTTTATTATTAGAAGACGTGTTCTTTCGGATAACAAAACACCTCTGGATAACAGATCGATCGAATACCCGACAAATTGCTGAATTCGTTTTTGAATACAGTTTTAATTAGATTTTTTTCGTACGCGAACGTCGCGGTTGCTAATGAGAAAGGACATTTACCAATTTTCTCCGTTCTACGGCGATTCTGTTGCATCGCCGCCGAACGGAACAGAGAAATACGACTTTCAGTTGGTCGAAGTACTGTTCATTCAATCTGTGCATTAAAGTACAAACGGGACAATATTTTCCTGATGAGTTTGATTACGTTTGCAAAGAAAATAACGAAATAGACCATCAAAGTTACGAACCGTTTCGTTGGTTATAATGCTAATTAGTATTACGTGGTTTCCTCTTGTCAGATTTATTCTGTGAAAACATTAATGTTAATCGTGACTCGTTCGTTGTTTGTTAACCCTAACGTATCACGTGTTTTTACAACGAATCATACCACGATGTGACTCTCATCCATTTATGAGAATAAAAGGAATGATTAAAATATTATTGTTTTTGTTTATAGGGCCGAAATTTTCAAAGTCCAAAGAAACTTTTGAAATAATCAAAAAATTTCAGTAAAAAGTGCCAATGTGACTCAGAGTCGCATCGTGGTCCGATTAGGGTTAATTTAAAGTTTAGTTTACAGATTTAGGACTGATGTTCGAACAGTAATTTATAGTAATGTGTTGATGTTTATTGTTATCTATTTATTAATTTTAATTTTTAAATTATTTTAATTTTCTTCTCTTTCTTCTTGAACTCTTCTTTTTAGTAAAGACAAACTGTTCGTGATAATTGTGTAAAATATGAAAGCTCTAATGAGTCTTCGTCGGAATATCAAAGAGAACTATGAAGCAAATTGCAATTTGCAATGCTTAATATTAAACAGAGTTGACATTTTCGCTGTTGATTTGCAATTTATATATATATATATATCCAATAATAATCAAACTCGGAATATTTATGTATTTACATATCTCACGCTCGGTTTTCGAAAAGCAAATTTTTATTGCATCGATGTCCTCGAGAAATTAAAGAAATTTGTTTAATAATTTTGGAAATTATAAACACATGAAGACGAAAGAAGAGAAATAAATATTTCGATGTTTTCATATATTTAATTTTTCAATTTCAAGTTTCTCCACACGAATACGAGTATAAATTAATGGTAAACGATGCTTGTAATTTTTAATTTTCGTTTTTATGAATTGAATGAATTAATATATAAAATAAGTATAATTAAAAATAATATATAATAAACACAATTCATAAATATAATTCAAATTAATATATAAAATAAATATAATTCATAATAAATATAATTCCCAAACAATATAAAAAATAAACATGTTCTAATAAGATTTAATTTTTATACTTTCTTAACCCTCTATAAGCCTACGTAACTTTGAAGTCACACATCAATAGACTGGGTTAAATTGATTTATTTAATTTTTTATTGCAAAATGATGAATGACATTAAATGATCAATAAACTTAAACTTTATACACGCAGGCGTTTACGTTCGACGTCATTGTAACTTCGAAGTTACAAAATATATTCGTTTTAATAAAACTATTAAAACTATGGAATACATTTTTAATTTGTGTGCATATGTTGATATTTATTAATTTCATACTGCGTAAATTTTGTTATAATCTCGAAAGAAAACTCGGCCCATAGAGGGTTAATTAGATATTTTATACTTTCTAAAGTACCACAATGTATAACAAATTTGCATCGTCATAAGCAGCATGACGTACAAGTGCGAACGGTTAAACCGGCGATGGTACGTTTAATGGGAAAAAGATTCCTCCATTTAGAGAACGACGCACGAACGTTTCAGGCGGAGTCCGAATGGCAGCGGAACAGATTACCGAAAGTGTATTATCGTCCCATTGATTCATCTGCAGCGGAGCAATGGCCAGCAGCGTTACAATGTAATTAACCAACTACAAATGCGACCAATAAATACTTGCATCAACTTATTATGCGCAAACGTAGCACCAGCTCGTGATATTCGTAATCAGAACTCGATGAGTACGTATCGATAAAAGACTAGATACGCGTTAACGACAAAGGGGCTTCAAATTAATTATCAATTGTAAACGAATCCGCCTACCACGTGTATTGATAATCCCCTGTGCACATCCACTGTACAGCGAAATATTGTTACTGTCAGCAAATAGACAATTGTCTATGAAATATTAAATCATTCTGTACCAAAGATATACTGACACTAGAACTACCGAGAATTAATACACAGCTATACATAATTTGTTATCAAAATTAAGGAAACAAATTTCTTGAGATTCGAAGACTTTCCTATTGCTATATTTGCACAAATGCAGGACTTTAGTTTGAAATATCTTACTGAAGCACCTTTATCGTCTTAATAATGAAATAAGAGTCTTGAAGTCGGCCATCTTGTCGCGTCTGCTACACAGTTCTAGCGTTAAAACTTCTTTCGTTTTTTTCCTATGAAATTATCCAAGAACTCGTCACTGAATATGTCTATTAAAAAGTACTGATTGTAAATAAATAAATTTTATTGAGAGAATGATTTAGAGAATTGAGAACATTAAGTCGGTTAGATTTATGAACTTCTTTCGCGTTAACAAGTTAACTTGTTATTACGTGCGTACTGTCTGCGCAATATTCTCGCGCTGTTACGAGAAGTTCTTTTAGGGCGAGTTCGTTACGCAATATCGAATTTTGTAGAGATTCCCGACGAGAGAGCTATATGGAAAAAAACTATATGGATCCTTTTCAATTCGGACAGTCCGAAAAAATATCTATCGGCCAGGAGTGTACTGTGTCGAAACAATCGGAATAGCGCCGAACCAATATTATCGATTTCAGTCCGCAAAATATAGAACGCCGTCGAATAACATCGAACTTGTAAGTGTCAAAACGTATTGAGTTTCGATTAAAACGTCTACGAAAGCATTGGAACTCATTTTATAGTTTATCGGAGTGTACTCATTTACATATGTCAATCGCGAGAAATAAATTCCATTGTACGAAATATTTTATTATATAACGTGAGTGTATATACTTAAGTGACTGAAAATCATTTTTTTGTGCTATATCATTTGGCGAAATCTCAATCAATTTGAAATTGATTGTAAGAATACAATGTAAGAAAAGAATCAGTGTATATAGATTTCGTTCATTTTGTTTTATCAAATTAAAGGTTTATCAACAAAAACTCCTCTAATCAACTTAAAACGAAAATACGATAATGAATGACTTTTCGCTGATATGTTTGTAAATACATATATTTATACACTAAATAGGGCATTCACTTTTCACGTGCCAATTTAACCCCTTGTCCTACAACAACGAGTGAGACTCGTGGTAAAGATTTTCAACATGATTCAACAAATATATATATATATTATTCTGTTCATTCGAATTCAAAGTAAATATTATTCCTCTGTAATCGACTATTATACTTAAAAGGAAATATAAGCATAACATATGCTTAGAATTTTTCTCTTTTTCCAATAAATTATTAATGACAAAGTGGTCAGAGTTGAGAAAGAAATCATAGGCCAAGGGGTTAACGAAATTTAAATAGGAAAAATCGAAAGGCTAAACAGTGATGTAAACCTGAATTTGTTATACATAAGTAAAAAGCAACTTTTCAGAGTGAAACATGAAACGAAAATCGACATTGTAACGTATTAAACGGATATCGGCAATTTCATTAGGCATCCAATGAGCATCCAAAGCTTCCAGAAGTATCAAACGAGTATTGATTCGATGATGCACCGGTATTGATTTGATTTCGCTAACGGAAATTGATGCTAAGTACCCAAAATTTCAGTCCGATTCGATACCTCCTGTATAGTACTTTGGCTCGATCGATATTCCATCGGTACTACGATTGAGAAGGTAAAATTAAAATTATTGCAATTGAAATTTCAACCTTACCTTCTCAACTGTAGTGCCAGTGAATTGTTGAAATCTTTACGATTAGAATGAGTCTAAAGACGACGTAAATGAGACTAGCTTTACCAACACAATGTAATTAACGAAACTAAAGGCTCATTTCCATGAAATCGATCAACCTAGTCCGATTCCTATCGTGCTTGGACTCATTTTAATCGCAACGATCTCAGCAATCCACTGGCACTACAGTTGAGAAGGTAAGGTTAACATTAGAATTGCACTAATTTTAACCTTACCTTCTCAATCGTAGTACCGATGGAACATCCATATTCGTCCAATCTCTCGGTACCCAATGCGTTAACAATCGACCCGAACTATATCTGCCAAATATTCTCATAATAATGACTAGATTCGATCGTCAGAATCATCAGAAATGATATTCAGAAATATTCTCATAATAATGAATAGATTCGATCATCGAAACCTATGATCGCCGTTTGTGATACGTTCCCTCGTTGACCGCGCTTGAACAGTTAATGACCGAGAAATCAGCGGACTAACAGGTTAAGAAATGGCCGGCAACTCCGCGCGTTATATTCACGTTACAATAACGCCGGCAAAATGGCAGCCGCGCTCCGCCGAATCTTTGATCGGCAATGTACGTGTGCACGCGTGTGCGGGCGCCGTTAGTTAGTTCCACGAATCAACTTCTGCGTTTACTGGGCATGCATAATTCATTTGCCGTTTGACGTATGTAATAATAGAAACAATGGAACAACAGAGGCCAGGGTAACGCGACAGCAATAACTCATTGTTGTCCCCGTGTGCATAACTCCTCGGGTCGGGGGCTATCTTTTGAGACACCGGCACTCCGAGTGTTGATTAATCAAACCGAATAATCTGGTCGAACTGAATTCAAATAATCCACCCTCGAACCCATTTCTGCAACGACAATTTCGGCCGCCGCATCGTAAACATTAATAACCGGCGTGCACACGATGCACTGTGCAACGGGTATCACCGATGTTCTTCGTTGAATTAATTCTGTTTTTACGGTTCGTCTAATTTCAACGTATTATGAGTACACAGGGTGTTCCGCGACTCATGATCAACCGATTAGGAGGTCATTCTACATGTAAAAATTAGTCGAAAAATAGAATAAAATTTATTCCTGCGAGTCTTCGTTTTCGAGAAAATCGAGGTCCAAATTTACTCGGTACATGTCGACTTTGTGCATCTCACTGTACATTCTTGTTTTCATTCTTATTTGTATTTAAAGACATGACAGTAATGACAAAGTGCGGATACCGCTCTTGACACAAACGCGAAGCGGCACTCAAAGTGCACTCTCACGCTCCCAGTGCGAGAATCATATCCGTGTACTCACTATTCGAATAAGCTGCCATATTGAGAAACTGTTAGATACTGAATAATTGTACCGCTAGTAGAACAGCACGAACGATAGACTATCAACCGAGATTATTACTATATCTTAAAATACAAATAAGAATGAAAACAGGAGTGTATAGAGAGACGCACAAAGTCGACATGTACAGAGTGTACATGTATCGTTTATTCTACTTTTTCGACTCATTTTTACATGTAGAATGACCTTCTAATTGATTGACCATTAGTCGCGGGACACCCTGTATATTAACTCTTTGCAGACGAATGTCGACATTTCGGCGAGATGAAAGTTTCGTGTTTGGAATACTAAGTTGCGGACAAATGATTTGATTTTTCGAACAGAAAGAGATTAGTATGTAGTTTCCTTTTTTTGTATTAATTAAGCAATTGATAGATAATTCAGCTTTATCTGCTGAAGGTATCGTATGTTTTATAGAATCTCCGTACGCAATGGGATAAACGTTTTACGTCGAAGACAAACTAATACAAACCGTGTGTTCCTTTCGCGTGGATCTTTTTTAGAGTAGAATAGAGTGAAACTAATTATAGTTACAAACTAATATTTTCGACGAATTTTTCCTGTGAAATACAGCATGCGCAGGAATATATATATAAGGTTTTATAACAGCGTTCACGCAGAACATGGAAACTTCAATCCATTCTTTAGTTGCAAATATGAGTTCAGATGAATTCGGTTTTAGGACCTATATCAAGTCCATCAAGAAATTTATGTAGTTTGTCATACTGTGTTTTTATTATTCTTGCATGCTACGATATAAAATCTCGTGCAACTTGTTTAATCTTCTAAAAGCGTTTTACGTGCGTTTCAGTGACAGCGCGAAGAGTAAAGTTTAACTGAATAAACTGGAAATTGTTATTAAGGGTTTCTAAAAAATACAGAAATACTGATTTTATAACTGATTTAATAGGAATATATCAATATTTATTATACATATGTCTGCCTTACCGACCTATAAATCTAGGCCTGATCTTAGTGTCCTCTTTCCGTGGACAATACTCAGTTGAAGTGATGTGGAAAGCATGGGAAATACGTCAGCGAGACAGTTCTGAATGCCTCAGTAGAGAATCTGAGCCAAATGCATACTCTATAGTATTTACTTTATCCCTCGGCATACGGATGGACATTTTGTCACAACGTTCCCATTCCATGGAGATTTTCAAAAGAAATTCTACATGAAATTTTTATGCACTCTTCCAACTGCACATGTTACAATTACATGTTTATATAGAGTATTTTTGAAATTATAATACGACAGAGAAGATATTGTACATAGGTGATAAAAATAAGTCGAAAACGTAGAATAACAGTTTTTTATAAGAAACTTCGCTTCACATTATAAGATAATCGACTTTAATATGCAAACGTTGGTGATTACAAGTGGAAATGGTCAGTTATGAACAAACAAGTATGACGTGAATTAACACTAGAACTACTTAAACTGTCTTTTTCTTAATGTCTTTATAAAAGCTGAAAGTATGAATTCATTAAGATTCGAATTGGCTCATATTTCAGTTTAGGTATTACTAAATCAGCTTCATTAATCATTTTTTAAAGGAGTATCTGTATCTTTGCAGCAACTGTAAAAGAAGCAGTTAGGAATTGGTCATTTTGATCCACCTGAT